GAATCTAAAAAGTTTGCAATTAAGGGGGGTGAATATGCAACTAATGTCATGCACGGTTTTGGGTTTTAAATGCCTTAGGTGGCGACTTCTCAAGCTAACATCATTACTCCCTAAATGCGGCTGGCGGTTCCAATTATATGGGAAAGGGAATTTGAACGTGTGTCCATTCATTTTCTCGAGAGGTTGAAGGTATGTGGGAGGTAATTAAGGTAATTATGGTGCATGTAACGGCTAGGTGAAACGGCTTCTCGTGAGAGTGATTAAGTATGGGGAATTTCTCAATAAATGTTCATTAGAATATTGTCAAATGGAATTAAATTGGTCAGTTATAATAAAGGGCACGAGAATAGGAAGAGTTTATGTTTTGGGAAGGGATTTTGGGCTCTAATCTTCCATTAATTCTTGGCTGCATTATTTATGAGGGAATCTCAATTGATTGCAATGTAACAGTTTAGGGAAGGACAAACAGCTACATTTAATTAGGGTAACTAGGAAATTGATAATTGCATTAAGTGCAATTATTTAGGATAAAAAAAATCTAGGTCATTATGTCAATTTCTCTCTCTTCTATCTCATATGCATTAACAAAAATTGGTTGCCCTAATTAAGAGGGATAGATTTGAACAAAATCATAAGGTGTCTATTCGAATTTCTCCCTCCCCCTAGGCATTGAATGGCTTTTCCGCTACAAGACTTAAATGAGGAAAGATTGAAAAGTGTCTCTTGAAATTTTGTTTTGCACGTGGAATCTAGGGCAAAGGGTGGCTTTCCTTAAGTGGCCAATTAAGGTTGGAGGGGAAAAGTCACACGTGTAGTTCTACTAGTTTAAGAAAATATCTAGCAAAAATTAAATAACATGAATCAAAAAGGATAATGTAAGCATTAATCGCAATGGTCATGAAGTAAAATGGGGTCCTCCCATTTGACCTAAAGACAAATTCTCCCCAGGGTTAATCTCACTAACCTAGGGTTATTTAAGATAATCTCATCATATAATTATTATAACACATGCACATAAAAATTAACATCAAACATTACCACAAAAATAACAAGCTCTATCGTGCAGCAGGGACCCTAGCAATTCAAATAATCACCATTAAAAGAGAACATTCATAAAATCAACTAATTCACAAAATTATAAAAAATGTACGAAATTCAATCAATATAATAATAGTAGTACTAATAAAAGCTAACTAAACTCAAACAATCCTAAGTACACAAATCAAAATTGGGGATGTTACAAGAGTGATTGCACTCATATTTTTAGGATTTGCTACAGTTTGTGCAGGGAGGTTTCCTGAACCTTGAGATTGCATCTAGTTTAGAGATGAGGCTAGCTGTCCCATTTGGTTCTCCAAAGTCTTAATACTAGCCTCAGTTCTTTGCTGGAAAGTGATGTTGTTCATAGTCAATTGCTTCATGAGCTCCTCAAGTGATGGTTCATTTTTTTGGGATGCACTTGGTTGTGAAGAAGATGGTTGGTGATGGTGCTGGGCTTGTTGTGGTAGATGTTGGGATTGATGGGATCTATTTAGGCCAACATGATGTGCTTGATATTGAGTGCCTTGCTGCTGGTTGTGCTGTTGAGAATTGTTCCCCCATCTCAAATTTGGATGGTTCCTCCAGCCTGGGTTATATCTATTGGAAGATAGATCCCATTTGGGCTGCTGCTGCGAATTTGAAAAAGGAAATTTATTAGTATAAATATTTGCAGCATAAGCCTGAGGATTACCTTCTAGAGTGTCAAACTCTTGCAGTGTAGGGCAGCTATCAGTGTAATGATCTGTAGCTGAGCAAATGGAAGCCAATTGCTTCACCATGGATGCCAATTCATCAAGCTTGTGTTCTATCTTACTAGACTCAGCAACTTGGACTTCACTCACATTTCTAGTAACATAAGAATTTTGCCTTGTTACAAATTGTTGAGTTGGCAGCCATATTCTCTATCAAATTCCGGGCTACAATTGGAGTTTTGTCAACCAACGCCCCTCCACTTGCGGTGTCTATCATGCTTCGGTCCATAGGGTGCAGTCCCTCATAAAAGTATTGTATCATCAATTGATCACTAATTTGGTGGTGAGGGCAGCTAGCACACAACCTCTTGAATCTTTCCCAATATTCATAGAGGGTCTCTCTTTTGAGTTGCCTTATCCCACATATTTCCTTTCTTATGGATGCAACTCTTGATGCTGGGAAAAATTTCTCTAGGAAAAGTCTCTTCAAGTTGTCCTAACTAGCAATAGATCCTGGAAGGAGATAGTAGAGCCAATGCTTGGCTGCATCCATCAGAGAGAACGGAAAAGCCTTTAATTTGACATGCTCCTCAGGCACACCTTATGGCCTCATGGTTGAACAAACAATATGGAACTCCTTGAGGTGTTTGTGCAGATCTTCACCTGCAAGGCCATGAAATCTTGGCAACAAGTGTATTAATCCAATTTTTAGAAAAAAAAGGAGCATTAATGTCAGGATACTGTATGCATAAAGTTTGATATGTTACATTCGGTGCAGCCAGTTCCTTTAATGTTCTTTCATTGTCAGCCATTTTTTCAAATTCAGATTCTAAAGAATGAGGTGATGAGTAGATAGATGAGGGAGATGAGGATTCCTCAAAATGTTCAGAACTATTCCTATGTGTTTTAATGCTACTATGAAATGTCCTATCAATTTCTAGGTCAAGTGGATACAAGTCTCCAGGATTCGATCTGGTCATGCACTAGAAACTGACTATAAGGAATGAAAAGAAGTAAACTAGATGAAACAACAAAAATGTAGAAAAATTCATATGACAATTATGCAGAAAACTAATGTATATGTGCAGTAAAATGAAGTAAAGAAGTTAAGCAACAAAAACAGAAAAGAAATTACAACTAATTGCAAGAAAACGCAGCATAAGCTAACAAATTCTGCAGAATTATGCAGCAAAAACAGAGTAATAATGCAGAAAAATTGAAAACAGAGTACTAAAACAGAGCAACTAACAAGTTCAATGCAAAATTAACACCAAAGTCCCCGGCAACGGCACCAATTTGATGAACGAGATATTTTCTCATTTGCAAAATGATTTGTCGTTAACTTTCATCAAAATTTGCAGAAAAATTTATGTAATCTAGGGTGCAAACCTAGGTTGTCTCCAAAAACTTTAATTTGTAACATACATTGAACATGTTGTGAACATTTACTATGAAAGCAATTAAAACAAGGGGGTTTTGTGTGATTCCAATTTTAATGTAAAGGCAAGTGATGAAATTAATGAATCCAATCAATGAAATATGCAATCCTTAGTTTGTTCATGCAATTCTATCCTTATCCCTCTTTAAGATTCAATACTTTTCCTCTTCCTCTGAATTAGGGTAACTCAAAAAGTATGAATTAATCTTAGATTCCCATACGAATTAAGCAATTTATATGGGCTCCAATCTCTCATCCCCAAGATAACGCTACCTTAGAAATTAACTTATGATTAAGCAAACTAAGTTATGAATTTCATTAAAATGAATTAGGGTTAATTAAGCAATGTCTCCCTCATTCAAACATTAAATCAATTCAAAGAGTTGGGGAAAATAAATTCATGAAGGAAAGAGAATTATATTGACATTCATACCTAAGAATTCAAGAATACATGAACTCACTAAGGATTAGAAGAAAGTTTAGCCCTCCATGAGGATGGGTCTTATAAAATTAAGATGAAAGATAAAGGAATTCAATGACATTAATGCGAGAATTAAAGGAAATTTAAAAGGAAATTGTAAATCAAACCCTAAGATTGCCCTTGGCTGTCACCCAAGGATCCCAAGCTCTGCAAAAAATGCTCCCAAAAGTGGCAAAGAATCTAAAATTATGAAAAGGATCCGTACCCTAATTTCTAAAAATCTATATATACTAAGTCTGACATGGCCCCATAGTGATCACTATGTAAACAAGAGTGTTTACGCGCAGCAACTTTAGATTTTCCCCTTTCTGGAGTGATTACTCTCACTTCTGAGAGTAAACACACGCAGGGCACTTCCTTCTGGGCGTCTCTGGAGTGATTACTCTAATTTCTGAGAGTATTTATGCGCAGGGACTTGGGGTCTGGGGCTTCTGGAGTGATCACTCTGATATCTGAAAGTGGTTACTGTAGTCTATCCCTTGAAACCAGCTCCCTGGAGTGATTACTCTGGTATTTGAGAGTGGTTACTCTCAGTTCATATTTTTCCAAAGAGCCAAAAATTCATGAAGTTTGTCTAAAATTTCTTGCATAATTATTCAAATGATCAAAATTGCAAAATATATTCACAAAAATTAATAGAAATAAGACAAAAATTAAGAAAGCTATTGTTTTTTACCTAAATGAGATTTTAATGTTATTTACAATCTCTAAGTCTATTTTTTCTATTAAAACTTTATAAAAACCAAACAAAATATCTATAAAGTGTGGATTCATCAAATGGGATAGCATTTCTATGGACTTTGTTTCTAGGTTGCCAAGGACCAGAAACAACCATGATGCCATTTGGGTGGTAGTGGACTGGTTGACTAAGGCCGCGCACTTTCTCCCAATCAATATGAAGTACAAATTGGAACGACTTGCAGAACTATACGTGAGGGAGATAGTTAGGCTGCATGGAGTACCAACTAGTGTAGTGTCGGATAGAGACCCGAGGTTTACCTTGAGATTTTGGGAGAGCCTATAGAGGGCGTTGGCCACTAAGTTGAAGCTCAGTTCGGCGTATCATCTGCAAACTGACAGCCAAACCGAGTGGACTATCCAGTCTCTAGAAGATTTGCTGAGAGCTTGTGTGCTCGAACAACAAGGGACTTGGGAGGAATGTTTACCATTAGTAGAGTTCACGTATAATAACAATTATCACACCAGTATTGGGATGACATCGTTCGAGGCTTTGTATGGACGAAGGTGCAGAACTCCATTATGTTGGTATGAGGACGGAGAGGCTACTCTATGGGCAACCGATATGATCCAGAAATAGAATGAACAGATCAAAAGGATCAAAGAGAAAATGAAGGCTAAACAGGATAGGCAAAAGAGCTACTATAATAAGAGGAGGAAACCCTTGGAGTTTCAGGTGGGTGACCATGTATTTTTGAAGGTCTCACCTATGACGGGAGTTGGGAGAGCTCTGAAATCTCGGAAGCTATCTCCTAAATTCATTGGGCCATTCGAAGTGTTGAGTAAGAATGGTCCTGCAGCGTACCAGATAGCATTGCCTCTGAACCTCTCACATCTACATCCAGTATTCCACGTGTCACAACTCAGGCAGTATGTGTCAGATACTTCTCACGTGATTAATATTGACCCGGTTCAAGTGAGGGAGGATTTGTCGTATGAGGTGTACCCGGTGAGGATTGCAGATCATCGTATTAAGCAACTGAGGGGCAAGGAGATCTCATTGCTGAAGGTGATATGGAACTCAAGTGACGAAGGAGATGCCACATGGGAGACGGAGAGCCGAATGAGAGAGTTATATCCACACTTGTTTATGTAGTTTGATTAAATTTCGGGGACAAAATTTTTTAAAGGAGGGGAGAGTTGTAACGCCCCGAAAATGTCATATTGTTTAAGTATATATATATATATATATGTATATAAATATACATATATATATATATATATTTCCTATTTTGTGGTGTGATGATTGACTTGATGGTGATGTGGATGTATGGATGTGCCTTAGTTTGATAGAAATGTGTGTGTGAATACAGATATATGTGAATGTATATATGTGTGTGTGATTGGAATTTGGATTGAAAGAGATAGGTTAAGTCCTGGTGTAGGGCATTCTCACTGTAGTGAGAGGTCCTAGGGAGAAAGGCATGCGACTGTCGCCTTCTCGCTGTAGCGAGAGACGTCTCGCTGTAGCAACAGAGCGACAGTTTAGGGTGCATTTCTAGGCGCAGTCTTGTTGTAGCAAGATTCTGCAGAAACTAGAGTGCAGTTTTCTCTAATTTTTTTGCTGTAGCGAAAGGGCGTGTCGCTACAGCAAGAGTGTCGCGACCAGAGGGGTATTTAAAGGGTTAGGGTTCGAGAAGAGAGTTGTTTTCACGATTTTCCTCTCTCTCCTTCACGATTCTCTCTACCCAAACTCATTCCTACCGATTAAAAGCCCTCCAAGGACGTTTGGGAGCTTGATTGAAGGTTGGAAATATGTTTGGAGTCTTTGGAGGTAAGTTCTATGGTTAGGATTTCGGTTTTCGTCCCTCTCCTTCATTTTTCTGAAGTTCCCCCTAAGTTTCCTTGGGGTTCTTGTGTGTTTTAGGGACGAAATTCGTGTGGGGAGATGATTCTGTCAACATTTCCAGTCGGGTCTTCATTTTTGAGGTAAGGGGAGTACTTTACTCTAGTTATCTTGGTTAAAAATGAGTTTATTTGAATGAATATGGTAATGTGATAGAAATAGGAGATGAGGTTATGTGTCTTGATGGACTGAACAAATTGGGTTGAGTCCGGAGGTGTCCGACCTCCGGCACATTGTGTGAATTGTGTGATAAGTTGAATGTGGTAGGTATTGTATGAGAAACCCATGTTGCATGTGATTAATGTTGAGTAAAATGTGGTTGTACATATGTGTTGACATGCTATGGGTGAATGATTGAATAACATGAATAGTTGAAAATGAGTGTGACGATATGTTTGGATGTGATTGCGACGTGTTTGGATGTGGAAACTATGTAATACCTTGGGGAGAGAGGATGGTGGTGATGCCAACAGTGAGCGTTGGTGCACCACAGGCCACATACTCTCTTCCTGACTCGGCCTCTGACTAACACCTTTGCCTTGGAAGCTCAATACCGCACATGCTGTATCCATGGAGCGGGAGCTATTTGGGCAACCATCCTGTGATCACAGTGCCATAGTGAGCGTGGCTATATGTAGTGAGCGCACGTATGTTTGTATGTGTGTGGATTGGGTGTTGGTGCAGTGAGCACACCCGTTGTTGTTAGAAATGGAATGAATTGTATTTGTGATCATGTTGTTTGAACGAGATTAGAAACATGTGAAATAGGTCAGGTGAGTCTTTATGCTTGTTTGTGTGCTTATGCTAGAGTAGAGGACTCACCCTTACGCTTATTTTTCAGGTAACCAAGACGATCAGCACCGGGACCCTTGAAGGATGAATGAAACTGCTGTAGGGCTTAGGAACTTATTTTATAAAACTTGATGTATTAACTAAGTCCTATGATGATTACTGATGTAATTTGTAATTTACCCTATTTCGAACATTTTATAGAACTTTGGCTAAAAAATTTTCTAAATGGATAACTTCTATATTTTGAATTTTTGTGAAAATCTATTTATTTAGAAATTAAAAATATAAGGTCTTACATTTTAGGTCACTAAACTTCTGCAGAAATTTAATCAAAGAGTTGGCACAATGCAGATTCTAATCTCCTAGAAAATTCATACCTAACAGAGAAAACTTATTCAAAGTATTATTCTATCTATTGCTAAATCAAATAAAATCAAAACAATGCTCCCTTAACCCTATTCGACATTTTCCAAAACATTAAACTCAGAAAATCCTAATTATAGATTTAGAGAAATGAGGGTAAGTGTACCTGGTAGGAAGATGCAGAAATGTGGGAGAAAAACTTGCTACTGCTAGGTCGACACGCATGGAGATTGAAATCGCAAGAATACTTAGAGATAAAGAGAATTTTTCTAGGGTCAAGTGTGTGCATGTTCACTATTAGTAATATTTATAGTCACGCATGAGCACGTGACTACTCTTAAAAATGAAAGTGAACGTTACAATTTTTAAAGGTTCCCAGCGTTGTCACTTTTTTTTTAATTAAAGTGAGTATTCCAGAGAGTTAATTTTTTTTAGAGTGATGAGCGCGTTATCACTATGTTAGGCAAAGTGATAACGCGCAAGCAATGTTGCAACTTTTTTCACAAAAAGGAATAATGCACATAAGAAAACTCATATTTACCTATGCGTAGCCACTTTTGCTAGGGAAAGTGAGCGTTCCAGAGAGGATGTTTTCCCATCTGCCTCTGCATGATCACTCTCATCAGTGAGAGTGAGTGTTCCAGAGGAGCGTGTTTACCTTGATGCCTCTGCGTGATCACTTTTATCAATAAAAGTGATTGTTCCAGAGGGGAACATCAAATTTCACTCTCTGCGTAGCTCCTTCCTTGCAACATAGTGACTCCTTTCATTAGTCAATTGCTTTTCAAAACTCAATTAACTCACTTGTCACACTCCAAACCTTCAAATACACACTCACAACATCAAACCTCTAATCACTTATCAAATTCACCTTAGAAAACCAGATGCAGCAGAATTCTAATTGCAGAAATTGTAAAACATGAATATGCAAAATTCTAAAGAATACAAAAAGCTTAAAAAAAATGGGTTAGAAATGTGAGTTGCCTCTCACAAAGCGCTCTTTTAATGTCACTAGCTTGACGTTAAATGTTCCTCACTCAAGAGGAACCAATTTCATGCATGAGATACTCCTTGTAAACTCCTCTCCATGATAGACCTTCAATCTTTGGCCATTAACCTTGAATTCTCTCCCTGTCCTTTGATCCTCAATCAGAATTGCTCCAAAGGGAGATGTTTCCTTAATCAGAAAAGGCCTAGACCATCTTGATCTAAGTTTCCCTGGAAAAGTTTCAATCTGGAATTAAACAACAGCACTTGCTGTCCAGGTCTGAATTCTCTTTGCAGAATGAATTTGTCATGAATTCTCTTGGTTCTCTCTTTGTACAACTTTGCATTCTCATAGGCTTGCTGTCTAAACTCTTCCAATTCATGTAATTGCAGAATTCTCTTCTTTCCAGCACTGGGTAAATCAAAGTTCAGCCACTTAGTAGTCCAATAAGCTCTATGCTCCAACTCCAAAGGTAAGTGACATGCCATTCCAAAGACTAATTGATATGGTGACATACCAATTGGAGTTTTGAAAGTAGTCCTGTATGCCCATAGGGAGTCATCTAGTTTCTTTGACCAGTCTTTTCTTGAACTACTCACTACTTTCTCCAAAATCTGCTTGATTTCTCTGTTTGACACTTCCACTTGTCTACTTGTTTGTGGATGGTATGGAGTAGCAACCTTGTGCTTCACACCATACTTCATTAATACTGCTTGAAGGTATTTGTTGCAGAAGTGAGCACCTCCATCACTTATCAGAAATCTTGGTACTCTAAACCTTGCAAAAATGTTCTTTCTTATAAAGGATATCACTACCTTTGCATCATTTGATCTTGTGAGAATGACTTTCACCCATTTGGACACATAATCCACTGCCATTAAGATGTATTCATAAGAGAATGATGGGGGAAAAGGTCCCATGAAGTCAATCCCCCATACATCAAATAACTCCACTTCTAAAATGTTTGTCGATGGCAGCTTATGCCTCCTAGAGATGTTGCCTGTTCTTTGACATTTATCACAACTTTCAACATACTTCTTAGCATCCTTGAAGAGCGTAGGCAAAAAGAAACCTGCTTGCAAGACTTTTGCATGATGGCCTCCATATTCTGAGTTATGGCAATGCCATAATATTTCATATTGCTCTTCCTCTGGTATACACCTTCTCAACAGTCCATCTATTCCAATTTTAAATAGCAATGGATCTTCCCATACATAGTATTTGTTGTCATGGAAGAATTTTTTTCTTTGCTGCCAACTCATCCAATTTAGAACATGATGTGTAGCTTTAAAGTTGGCAATGTTAGCAAACCATGGCTGTGATTCAATCTTGAATAGGCTTTCATCTAGAAATTCTTCTTTTATTTGCTCTACTTCACATGGAATGGCCTCAAGTGGTAGTCTTGACAAGTGGTCAGCAACTCCATTCTCCTTCCCCTTCTTGTGTTTGATCTCTAACTCAAATTCTTGGAGAAGTAGAATCCTCCTTAATAACCTGGGCTTTGCATCCTGTTTTGACAAAAGATACTTAAGAGCAGCATGGTCAGTGTAAAGTATAACCTTGGACCCTATTAAGTAAAATCGAAACTTATCAAATGCAAAAACTATAGCTAAAAGTTCTTTTTCAGTAGTAGTATAATTAATTTGTGCATTGTTAAGAACTTGACTAGCATAATGAATCACATGTAGTTTCTTGTCTTTTCTTTGGCCTAAGACTGCTCTTATAGCTATATCACTAGCATCACACATCAGCTCAAATGGTAATTCCCAATCTGGTTTAACAAGTACAGGAGCAGAAATTAATTTTTCTTTCAAAGTATTAAAGGCTATTAAACACTTATCATAAAAAACAAATTCTACATCCTTACTCAACAATTCACTCAATGGCTTGACAATTTTAGAAAAGTCTTTAATGAACCTGCGATAGAATCTAGCATGTCCCAAAAAGCTTCTTACTCCTCTTACATTTACAGGTGGAGGCAGCTTCTCAATTACTTCTACTTTTGAAGGGTCCACTTCCATTCCTTTTGCTGAAATTTTATGTCCTAAGACTATACCTTCTTGTACCATAAAATGTCACTTTTCCTAATTAAGCGCAAGGTTTGAATCTTGACAAAGCTGCAGAACAAGAGATAAATTAGCTAGACACTGATCAAAAGAATTGTCAAATACAGAAAAGTCATCCATAAAAACCTCTATAATTCTTTCAATCATATTAGAAAAAATGGACAGCATACACCTTTGAAATGTGGCTAGAGCATTGTGCAACCCAAATGACATCCTCTTGTATGCCAAAACTCCAAAAGGACAAGTAAATGCTATCTTTTCTTGGTCTTTTGGGTCAACTGCAATCTGGTTATAACCAGAATATCCATCTAGGGAACAATAGTAGTTAAACCCAGCTAATCTCTCCAGCATTTGGTTAGCAAATAGAAGAGGGAAATGATCTTTTCTTGATGCATCGTTCAACTTTCTATAATCTATGCACAATCGCCATCAGGTTGCTGTCCTAGTAGGAATTAACTCATTTCTTTCATTTGGCACAACAGTGATACCACCCTTCTTAAGCACTACATGAACCGAACTAACCCATTAACTATCTGAAATAGGATAAATAACTCTTGCATCTAGTAATTTCATCACCTCTTGCCTCACTACCTCTTTCATAGTTGGATTAAGTCTTCTTTGAGGTTGGACAACAGGCTTGCAGTTCTCCTCAAATAATATTCTATGCATGCAAAAGGATGGATCTATACCTTTCAGATCTGAAATATGCCATCCTAGAGCAGATTTGTGCTCCCTCAATACTCTCAAAAGCTTTTCTTCTTGGTCTTTCTTCAGATTACCATTTATTATTACAGGATTGTTATGGCTTTTATTAAGAAACACATACCTCAAATGAGAAGGTAATTGCTTAAGCTCCACCTTGGGCTTTTCTTTCTTCTCTTCTTTTTGGTGTAACTCCTTCTTGAGCTGGTTCACTGCATTATTTAAACATGGAAGAGAATCTAATTGCAAAATACATTCTTTCACTTCTTCAGCTTGTTCCTCATGAATACAACATTTTGCTGCAGCTATTGTGTCTTCCAAGACTGCACTTTCATCAGATTTCTCCAATAATGGATGTATCACAACATCTATTACATCAATCTTCATGCAGCTCATATCATCACTTGGATGTTTGATAGCTTCAAATACATTAAAAATAACCTTTTCCTCTTGTACTCTCAGCATCAATTCACCTTTTTGTACATCAATCAATGCTCTCCTTGTGGCTAAGAATGGCCTTCCTAATATGAGGGGGATATTCGCATCTACCTCCATATCAAGTATAACAAAGTCTACAGGGAATATAAACTTGTCTACCTTGACTAAGAGATCTTCCACTACTCCATAGGGATATGTATAAGATCTGTCCGCTAGTTGAAGTGTTATCCCTGTTGGCTTTACCTCTTCAATTCCCAGCTTCTTTATAATTTCTAAGGGCATTAAATTTATGCTTGCCCCCAAATCACACAAGGCTTTTCCTACAGTGCAATTTCCAATGGAGCAGGGTATGCTGAATGACCCTGGATCCTTCAACTTTTGAGGCAATTTCCTCTGTAAAATTGCACTGCACTCCTCAGTGAGTGGTACTAGTTTCTCCATATCCAGCTTCCTCTTCTTAGATAAAAGCTCTTTCATGAATTTTCCATAAGAGGACATTTGTTCTAATGCCTCTGCAAATGGGATATTAATTTGAAGCTTCTTGAACACATCTATGAATCTTTCAAACTACTTTTCTTGTCTAGGATCCTGTACTCTCTTTGGAAAGGGTAGCCTTTTAAATTACTCTTCATTAATAAGCTTGCAAGCCTGTTCAAATCTCTGCTTCTTTCCTCTATTTTCTTGTTTATTACTGTAGTTTTCTTCCTCTTCTCCCCTCTTCAACATGGTATATTTTCCACTTTCAAAGTCTTATTGTTTCATCTTACTCTTCTCATTAGAATGGGTAACTATATCCTTCTTTCTTGGGCTAGAAACCACTGCTCCACTTCTTATGGTTATGGCTTGGCATTACTCCTTTGGATTCACTATTGTACTACTAAGGAACCTTCCTTCATCTCTATTGGCAAGCTGCTCAGCCAACTGCCCAATTTGCATTTCTAACTTCTTGATAGAGCTTTCTTGATTTTTGAAATTTGTTTCTGTCACCTTCATAAACTGTAGTAGTGTTTCTTCTTGAATTTGAATACCTTTGATTTTTCTGAAATTGTGCAGAAGAATTCCCTTAAAAATATTGTTGCGGAACTTGAGGAGCTGCACTTGGGAAAGGTGCAGAACCTGCATTCTCTCTTGCATTAGAATTATGTGGATTCCACTTGGAAAACTGTTGTCCTCTATTGTTATTGAGATGGAAACCAAGTGGATATGATTGTTGTGGCCTTTGATAATTTCCCATATAGTTGACTTGATCAGTTTGTTCTCCAATTGTGGGATCACAAGCTCCATTCACATGGTTGCCACCACAGAAATCACAACTCAGTTGTGAATTTTAAATACCACCAGTCTGCATGTTACTTATTTGTTGAGTCAAAACAGCAAGCTGTTCAGAAAATTGTTGGTTTTGTAGTTGGTTTTGAGCAAATAAGGCTTCTATAGATTTTACATCATAGCCTCCTCTCCTTGAAGCTTGTCTTTCATTCATATTTTGATACATTGAAGATGCCATCATTTCTATAATTTGCTGGGCTTCTTCCAATGTTTTTGAACTCCGTGAACCTCCAGCTGCTGCATCTATCATGATTTTAGTTGTTGTAGTCATTCCATTATAAAATGTTTCTAGTTGCATCCATTCAGGTATGCACTGATGAGGACATTTCTTTAATAACTCCTTGTATCTTTCCCATGCCTCATACAATGGCTCTCCATCTTGCTGAACAAAAGATGTAATCTTACCTCTGATTTTTGCAGCTTTTGAAGGGGGAAAATACTTGATTAGAAACTTGTTGACCAAATCAGCCCATGTTGAAATGCTACCTTGTAGCTGAGCTTGAAGCCAACACTTGGCTTTATTTCTCAATGAGAATGGGAATAATCTGAGTCTGATTGCATCCTCACTCACCCCATTGATTCTGATTGTGTCAAAAAGTTGCAAGAAATTAGAGATGTGCAGATTTGGATCATCTGAATGGTTTCCTGCAAATTGGTCCTGCTGTACCAAATTCAAGAGTGCAGGTTTTATCTCAAAATGGTTAGCCTGGATTGTAGGTCTCAAAATAGAAGAGCTGAACCCTTGTAAATTAGGAATTGCGTAGTCCCCTAATGTTCTCATTCTTTGTGGCTCTACATCTTGATTTGTCTTTGGATTTAACTAGGTTGAGGTGGAAGTGTAGAACTCTCTTGCTGCTCTCTTTGAATTTGCTTAAATTTTGCTTCACTTCTTAACCTCCTTAGAGTTTGGTCAATGTCTGGATCAAATACCAAAGTGGCTTTATTTTTATTTTTCCCTCGCATATACAAATCAAAACTAACAAGTTAAACTAAAATTCAATAGTAAGATATACACTAACAAAGATTATACAGAAAAATATCAGCAAAATCACATCCAAGTTCAGTCTAGCAACTGCAGAATTATGCAGAATTGCAGAATCATGCAAAATTATCTACTAGTATCCTACACTTATCTATTAAAATAAGAACAGAGTAACTTGAAAGTAATACTAACTACAGAGAAAAATTAAGAAAACAAGTACTCAATCTAGCAATTTTCTGTTACCAATGATATTGAAACTCAAATTTCCCCAGCAATAGCATCAAAAACTTGTTGTTACAATTCTAAACACTAGCAAGTGCACTAGGAATTGCAGCAAGTAATGAGTAATTTTTAATATCAGAGTATCGTCTCCACAGGGAATTAGGAATTCAAGTACAACTTCACAGAACAACAACCAGTTGAGCCAAACATATTTGGAAGAGTTGTATCATCCAAAAAGTACGAAATAAGAACAATTAAAAGGTAAAGAACTTGATGTTGAGATTAGAAATGGATGAATGATAGTTAGGAATTTATTTCACAAGAATGTCAATATCAATTCAATTATGCCTCTAAACATTCAAGCAATTTGTTAATTGACAATCAGTTTCTCTTATTAATAGTCAAAGTTTAATCCTTTAAATCATTGACCCTAACGAGTAACTAAACCACCCTAATCCCTTAGGTGTAGTTCAATTTCAAGTTGCATTAAGACTTAGAACTGTCGGATTGCAGGATTAGGTTCCCTTATCCCTAAGAAATTCCTAATTCTGGTTGCTAATTCATATTAGAGAAGCAAATCTAACTTCCATTAGCAAATGTTCCTCTTTGATTAATCATATGAATTCCTATTCAAAGATTGCAATGACAGCAGAATTAGCAACTCAATTAATCTAAGAACTCAAATTTTAGAAGCAAGAAGTGAATCAATACATCAATTCAAGATCCATAAACTCCTAAGTACGAAGAATTAACCAGACATTGTAACAAAGAAAGAGAAAGAAGGAGAAGAAGAGAAGCCATCTTCACGAGCTCCAATCCAATTCCTCCTCTTGGAGCTTCGAGGTTTAACCCCAATCCTCTCTCCCACTCTCTCTCAACGAGAATCTAACAGAAAAAATGGAAAATGAACAAAAGACCCCGAAATTTGAGCTTTTTCTGGTATTTAGAATTACTGACTCTGGGTGTTGTCACTTTGCTCCATAAGAGTGACCATGCAGATGCTTATATAGTTTCAGAAAATTGAAACTATCACTTTCAATGATAAGAGCTGCAACGCAGGAGGTCGAGTGGTTGCGCATAATCACTTTTATGAATAAAAGTGGCCACGCGCAACTTGCTAAGTTGAGATCTCTTTGGAACATCCACTTTTACTAGTAAAAGTGGTAATGAAGAGCTTGTTGAATTTTAGTCTTCTCTGGAACACTCACTTTCGTTGGTAAGAGTGGTAACGTAGAGCTCGCTATGTCTGAGATTTCTGAGAGACTCTTTGGAACATCTACTTTCA